GGTCAGGGTGTGGCTGTGGGTACTGAGCATCCCATCTCACTGCACCATCCCTCGCACAGTGGACAGGCACTGGGGTCACCACTGTCACCCCACGGGGACACTGCTGCTTTCCCTTCCACAGAGCTCTCTGGCGCTGGGGCCAAGCCACCCTCCAGCCTTCCAGCTTCTCTAAAGTCACCAGAGTCACTTGTGCTCTTATAGGCCACTAAGTGCTGTAATTACAGATATGCTTTAATTAACATAATTGTGTTTCTACGCAAATAAAACATTTGGCACAGTTAATTCTAAGGCTGCAGCTCCAAACACAAGGCTTCCTGACCCCCCTGCGGAGGTGGCAGGGGGGCTGGCAGAGAGTGGGGTTCTCACCTCCCTGCCAGAAGATCATCCCAGTCCCAGCCTGGGCCTGAGCCAAAGCCCCCCGTTCCCCACTGGAGTGTCCTGCCCTATTTGGTGGAGACAGCTGTGCTGGCAGACACTTGGATTGCTGGGAGATGGCACTCGGCTTGCTGGAACACTGTATTGGGCTCAGTGGACCAGAGCACTGGGATTTCTGGGATGCAGCAAACCCAGTGGTTTGCTGGGAGACTGAACTGGACTTGCTGGGATGCAGCCCCAGGATTGCTAAGACATAGCACTGGGTTTGCTGGGCCATGGTGCTCACATTGCTGGAGTACCATGCTGGGCTTGCTGGGATGCAGCCCTGGGTTTGCTGGGACACAGCTGGAGCCCAGCTGTGCCCTGGCAGCAGTGCCAGGGGGCATTCACCCTGGCCGGGCAATGGGCACAGTGGATGGATCCGGCCCCTCCATCCATCCCATCCCATCCCATCCCATCCCATCCCATCCCATCCCATCCCATCCCCTCCCATTGAGCTGCCCCCAGGGTGTTTTGCCCTCCCAGCATCCAGAGACCTCTCACTCCCCATTCCCTCTTTAGCAGACCCCAGAGCTCACCATGCTCTTAGGAGTCTTTGGATGAAGGCTGGAGCTGGCGGCAGCATGCCAGCCCTCTGCCAGGAAGATGCCAGGAAGAACTGGGAAAATGGCTGGTGCTTATGTGCTAAAATGCCCTTTTCATTTGAAAAAAACAGAAGAAAAGGGGGAAAAATATATTCCATTTTTCTCCAGCTGAAAATGAAAGTGATTATGTAACGAGCAATAAATTACAGAAAGGAATGAGTCATTGGAGCAAATCCCAAGAAAGGCACAGTATTTTTAGCTCCAACACCCTGTGCTGTACTGTGCATTAACCCTTGCAGGACTTGGGCCCCCACTGCAACCTACCCCTAGGGTGATCCCCCCCCCAGAGGCATCATATTGGCTTCTGTGAGGATTTTGTCTCTGTGATATTCCCAAGGGAAGATGGAAACAATGTAAGCTGTGGGCCCCTCCTTTCCTTTATATGGGATGCTTATGGGTGGTCCAGGGAATACTGCTCACCCCAGATCCACATCCCCATCCTGGGCTAAGCCCCTGCTTCTCTTCCCCTCTGCTCATTCCCACTGGGATAATTAATCCTGATCCCTTCCTGAGACCCTGGGCACCACTGTTGTTTCCTTGCCAAAGAGCCTGAAGAATTAATTAGGAAATAAAAACAAGGAACAAATTAATTGGAAGAGAACTAGCGAGGGAGCAAGTGAGCAATACTGCTTTAATCCAGGTTAAATTGGGGAGTGATTGCTTTGCTAACAGAAGAGATGATGAGGGAGAATTGGAGCAGGCAGGTGCCAGGTGAGACAATGGCAACAAGCATCCAGATGCCAAGGGATGCCCATGGAGAGCTGTGCTGGGTGGGGAGGAAAATCCCGGAGACACCAGCAGGAAGCTGGAAGAGGAATCTGGAAGAGAGGCTCAGAGCATCTTGGGGTCAGAGCCCAGAGTGTCCCAGGATCACCACTCAGACCATCCTCGGGGGCCCAGAGCTTGGAGCACCCCTAAGGAGAGAGCTCAGAACATTCTTAGGACTGAGGCATGGAGAACGCCTGGGATTTGGGCTTGGAGCACCCATTGGAACAGGGCTTAGAGCATCTCTGGAGTCAGGGCTTGGAACATCCCTTTCTTAAGTGACACTATCATTCATGCCTACTTTTGAGAATCCTATGGGATCAGGTACCAGCACAGGGACAGGGACCCTGTCCTTGTGTGCCATGTTTCTTTGGGGTCTCCAAGCTGGTGGGAACCAGGCCTGCTTCTCTGTCTCTGAACAGATCCCTGGGTGCTCATGGTGGCACGACACTCCATTGTCACCTGGCAGCGACCCCACCCTAAATAAGGGGCCAAGGAGAGTGGCAGGGACAAGTGAGATCTGGTGGCCAAGTCCTCGTGGCCTGCAGCTGGAGTGGGGTCAGCTCAGAGTGACACAGCCAGGGCCAATGGATGTCACCTCCTCATCTTTTATCTAATCTGGCAGTAAATTCCTGTCCTCCATATATGCTTGCGCTGGGCTGGGATCTTCCTTATTGCTGCTGGGCCACCTGGAATAGTGGCGTGGCACTGCGTGTCCAGGGGCTGCTGTACCCCAGTACCCGCTGCTGTCCCGCAGGCACCTGCTGTCCCTTCTCCTGCTGCACACTCTCATTCTGGCACATAATTTCCCCAAAATCCATGTTCCCTCCAGAGACATCCTATTCCTCCAGGCAACCCCTGTCCTTGTGGACATGTGCTGTCCCTTGTCAAACACACTGTCCCTCTGCAAACGTGCTGTCCCTTCAGGCACCTGCTCTCCCTCAAGACACGTGCTGTCCCCAGGTGTGTCGTGTCTTTCCAGACACAGGGTGTCCCCCAGATGCATGCTGTGCTCATGGATGTCACCTGCACCTCTGGACATGTGCTGATGCCATGAATGCAGGTTGTCCCTATGGATACATGCTGTCACCCTGGAAGCAGGTTGTCCCTCTGGACACACGCTGTGCTTCTGGGTTCAGGCTGTCACCCACGGACACGTGCTGTCCTCCGGGATTCAGGCTGTTTCCATGGATACACTTGTCCCTGTGGATGCATGCTGTCCCCATGGATACACGCTGTTCTGATGGATACACACTGTCCCTTTGGATACATGCTGTCCCTTTGGATACATGCTGTCCCACTGGATACATGCTGTCCCCCTGGATGCATGCTCTCACCATGGCATATGCTGATCCCTGGATGCAGTCCCTGTGGATATCCCCTCTCCCTCACCCCTCTGAGGGTACAGTGGGGGTGTGCTCTGTCCCTGCCCACACAGGATAATCTCCTGGGACAGGCTGTGTGCAGCTCAGGAGGTGAAATCCCACTAGCCAGGCTGAAGATGCTGGTGGCCACCATGCCCAGAACTTGTCCATAAGGACTGTCTGAGCCGGCTGGGAAAGCAGCCAAAGAATGGGGAGAGAGGTATGGGAACAGAGCCAAGAGCTGTCTCAGCCCCACAGGGACCTGACCACCACAGTGGGGCCAACAGGGCTCTGCCATCCCATTTGTCCCCCCAAATAGCCCTGTCGTGTGTGTGGGCTGCTGGTGGACCCCCAGCCCTGGCCGTGCTCTGAAATGTCTCCACAGAGACCCTCTAAGGGCTCCATCACTTACTCATCAGCAATATCACTTAATCAGCTGGGCCCTTCCTTATCCCTTTGTCACCCCTCCTCAGAATCTGCTCAGTTGGAAGGAACCCACAAGGAGCATCAAGTCCAGCTCCTGGCCCTGCACAGTTATCCTTTTGTCACCCTTCCTCAGAATCTGCTCAGTTGGAAGGAACCCACAAGGAGCATCAAGTCCAGCTCCTGGCCCTGCACAGCACCATCTCCAAGAGTCACATCACACGCCCAAAAGTAGTGTCCAAATGCTGCTAGAACTTCAGGCTTGGTACTGCTCTGGGGAGGCTGTTCCAGTGTCCAGTCACCCTCTGGGTGAAGAATCTTTTCTTAATATCCAACCTAAACCTCCCCTGACACAACTTCAGACCATTCCCTCGGGAGTGTCACTGGTCACCAGAGAGCAGAGATCAGTGCCTGCCCCTCCTCTTCCCCTCACAAGGAATTTGTAACTACAGTGAGGTCTGTCCTCAGTCTCCTCTTGTCCAGGCTGAACAGGCCAAGTGACCTCAGCTATTCCTCATACATATTCCTTCCCCTCGAGGCCTTTCACCACCCTCATGGTGAGTCTTTAGACTCTCTCTAGTGGCTTTAATATCTTTTTTATTTTGTGATGCCCAAAACTGCCCCCAGCACTCGAGGTGAGGCTGCCCCAGTACAGAGCAGAGCAGGACAATTCCCTCCCTTGCTCAGCTGGTGATGCTGGGCCTGGTGCCCCCCAGGACATGGGTGTGACTCATGTGATCATGTTCACCTTACTGTTGTCCTGGAAAGTTCCCTTTCCATGACACTGCTTTCCAGCAAATCATTTCCCAGTCTGTATGTACATTGGGATTGACCCATGCCAGATGCAGAATCCTTGTTGAACCTCACACACTTGGCAATTGTCCAACTCTCCAATTTGTCAGCAGCCCCTCCCAGTTTTTTATTGTCTGTGAACTTGCTTAGTCTGAACTTCCAGTCCTGTGTCCAAATAATTTATAAAGATGTTGAAGAGTGCAGGACTTCCTCGTCCCTTTCTCATCCCTTTGTTATCCCACTTTGAATCCAATGATAGCCCAAGCCCCAGAACTGATGCAACCAGGTCTCTGCAGCTGGCACCACTGGGGCCATCCCCACTGAGGGGCTGGTGCCAGGACACCCCCATCCCTGCCCAGCCTGAGATCATTCTGGGCTGTGGCTCCTGTGGTGGATCAAGGGATCCACCTGGACCCTGGATCCCACCCTGCCCATGCTGGTGTTGCTGGGATGACAGTGGGGCACACACACACTCACATGCACAACAGCTGCAGTCACAGCTCTTCCTTGCATCCACACATTCCCAACTCTCCTGCTGCTCCCAGCAGGTCCATGCAGTGAACACACCTGATGCCATGGAGCCTCCTGGCACCCCCAGCCTGTGCCTGGCATTGCTCAGGTGAGGGATGTCACGGCATTCCCTGTCCCACAGCATTCTCTGCCCTGCCATATTGCCTGCCCCACTTGGGCACTGCAGCTGCATCCTGGGTGATGAGTGGGATTTATGCATGGGGAAACTACAGAGCAGTAAATGGGATATTGATTGGGTGCTATTGTGGGGATTAGTGCAGAGCGGAAGAGCAGAGGGATTGATTTCTGGTGGGATTTAGAGCTGTCAGTGTACCTCGGATTAGCAGCTCCAGGGTAATAACACCCAATTCATTCAGGGATCCAGCAGGTCCCTTAGTGGCCATGTCCCCAAGCTCAGCTGAGTCTCAGTCATCTCTGTTCCATGGGCAGGACCCCAGCCCCATGTGCCACCTGCACTGGCCACTGTGTCCCCTCCTTCCCTGGAGGACAGGGATGCTCCAGAATGCCCACAGATGCTGCTCTGAGGGCAGGCTGCTGCAATTGCTAGGGATGGAGAGAAATGGGATTTCAGGGTTACGCAGGGTGTGAAGGGTCATCTTGGTGCCTTAACCCCCCAAAATCTTCAACTTTGGGAGTTTGATACCATTTGCTGCTAGCACCTCCCAGGGAAAAGCTGGAGTGGGGTTTATCTCAGTGTCTTTGGTGTGGAATATTCCACTACCATGGAATAAAGGTTAATATTTACTTGCCTGCATGAACTTTATTCCCATTGATGCCATCAGACACCCTCCAGATGGGATGCGGCGTGGCTGCTCCCTAGGTTCCCAGGAAGAGACAGGAGGCACAGCACTCGATTGATCCACTCCAGGCCGGGAACAAGGGAAAACTACAGGATGGATGGAAATGCGGGAAGCCCACACTGCTGCCTCTCCTTGGCACCTACAGTTATTCCCCAGCAGCTCCAGGGCTGGGTTCTGAGGCTGTGTGTGTCCATCTGACTGCTGTGATGTTCTCATCCAAGGAATGCCACTCCTGGGGCACACAGAAAAGCCAGGGATCAGCTCATAATTACCCCAGGACTGACTGGGAGATGAGCAATGATGCATGGATGCAACGGTGGTACTGCAGTACAAGTCCCTGCACCCTTGCATCCCTGCACCCGTGTCCCATTCCCCTGTCCCCAGGTGCCCCTGTGTCCCTACACTGCCATGTCCCTGTGTCCCATTTCCCTGTGTCTCCCTGTCTGTCCCCAGGCCTTTGTGCCTATAACTTGTGTCCCACCACCTGCCCCCAGCCCCTCCCCCTCATGTCCCTGCACCTCTGTGTCCCACCCCTGTCCCCAGGCACCTCTGGGAGAGCATGAGGGACAGCTCCGTGCTGTGTCCTTGTTCCCAGCAATGGCTTTGTGTTCCCTGGGCAGCTGTGCTGGCTCCCTGGGTGGCCCTGGTGACAGGGCTGTGCCAGGTGCCAGGACATGGATCCTGCTGGCACCCAGCTCCTTGGGATATTTCCACTGTTGGCCCCGCAGGGAACCTGCTATTCCTACCTGATTTATTGACGGATCCCCGGACCTGCATCCGTGCCGGTGGGACCTGTGCAGGCTGGGGTGACACTTGGGACCTGCAGCAGGGTGAAGCCAGAGCGGGAGTTCCACACCCTGATCCTGGGGGTCTGGCGGCTCTGGTAGTGTCCTGGTCAGAAAAAGGGGCACTGTGAGACGCTGCCTGGGGTATTCATGATCCTGTGCCACCCCGGGGAGAGACGCCCGTGCCCGTGTGTCCCCCGCAGGGGCAGGAGCACCGGAGGCCGGGGTGGCTGCGCGGGGTGTCCGGGAGCGGCCCTGGCCGCTAGATGGCCCCGCGGCTCCGCCGGCCGCCCCGAACCTCCTGCGGGCTCCGGGCCCGGCATCCCGGGGCTCGGCGTGCCGGGAGCCGGATGGAGCGTGTAGCGTGCAGAATGGCCCTAAACCCCACCCTGCTTGGCACCTCGGGGTGGCATTGCCTTATCACGACCTGTCCTAACGAGGGGCGAGAGACGATGCGAGGAGCCCTTTACAAACGCCCCGCCGAGCCTCAGAGCACCCTGTCCCTGAGGAGCACCCTGGGGACAGGGACACAGAGGTGCAGGAGCACAGTAGTGCCTGGGTAGGGAGTGGGACACGGACTGCAGGGACACGGGAACACGGAGGGACAAGGATACAGGGATGCAGGGACACGGGAGGGCCTGGGGACAGGGATACGGAGGAAGAGCAGGCCATCCTCCCTCAGACCAGAACTTTCTCTTCTGCCCAGAGGAGGAGGAGGAGGGGGAGGGATGGAGATTGTCGCGCTGCCGATATCGCTCTCACCGTGTGGCAGGTGGCCATCGTGTGACGGCCTGAGCATGCCGACCCTCCGTGCAGATTCCCTGGGGCCATCGGGGTAGGGGCAGCATCCCGAAATCCTTGTACTTATCTCGGGGCGAGGGACGGGAGGAGGTGTCACTCCTCACTGAAGGCAATGGGGGGTTAATATAGGAGGGTGGGGGCGAACAGACCCTATAAGGGGGCCCCAAGATGAGGGTCCCTCCCTATCCAAGAGAGGGGTGCTGGGTAGGAACCCCTTCAGTATCCTATAGGATGGGGGGCAGGGAAGATTTTCTCTACCGAGCCCTGCATCAGAGTTACCCCAGGGCAAGGGATGCGATGAGATTTTGGCCCCTCCATCAGGGAGGATGAAGGGAAGGCCTCCCCAACCCAAACGTGAGGCGCAGCCTTTAAGGGGGCAGGGGTCGCTTTATTGAGAGGTGAAACATGCCGCAGAAGGGAGAAGGGGCAGGGGGGAAACTCCTGGCCCGATCCCCAAGAGGGGAGGGTTTAACCCGGAGGGAGATCGTTGCCCTCCCAGATGCCAGACCCGTGACGGCACACCCGGCACCTGCCGCACAAGGAAAACACTGCCAGCCCCGCGCTGCAGAGCGGAGCTACCCAAACTGGGCAGCGATGCCCTGATCCTCTCCCCACATGGGCGCCCCCGCCCCACTCCGGTTTCCTTCCCCCTTCACCACCCCACACTGGGACTCCCACTCCTGAACCCCTCCCAATACCGGGGAGTGACATCCCCACCCAATTCCCACATCGGCACCACCCTCTCGGCCCCCGCCCCACACCGAGGACCCCCCCCCCCCCCCCGGGGGGGGGGGTTCCGCGCCC